GCTCGCAGTGGCCTCGGAGGAGCGAGCGGCCGCCCGATGACAGCCGGGTGAATGTGGCAGAGAGAGGGAGCCAGGGGCTTCGTTTAGCGGGGGTCGTGACGGCGCCCCCCCTCAGTCCTGCGCCCGGGGCAAGTGCCCCCCCTGCCCCCCCGGTTGTTACGCAACTGGGAGTGTGCGATAGTAGTATATAACAAAGCTATAGGAAAGAGAGCTCAGAAGTAAGGGGGTAAATGTGGAGGATACCCTGGAAAAGGTAAATAACAGAACTACAGAGCACTAGAAAAAGTTATCCTGAAGTACAAAGAAAGCAAATAGTAAGGAGAAAGCAGACACACAATGACTGGAGTGGGAAAACACTAAAGTAGTAAGGCAAAGAAGGCAGAAGAGAGACTCACAGTACACTGGTGAAGCAATGGGAAGTCTTCAGCAAAATACTAAGGTATACACAGGAATCCGGCTACAGCAGGAACACTGACAATGAAGCAGGGGATTAAGCCAAACAGGGAAACCAGCTGGGTACAGGGAAGCCAAAGGAGCAGGGATCCAAGATGAACACAGGGAATGAAAGTCACAGGGATCGCCAGAGCCACAAGGGGTCCAGCACAAGGAAAGAGGCTTGTTGCTCGAAGGAATTGCAACAAGTTAGGTAGAGCTAAAAAGGGGAGGAGGAGTGCAGATTGGCTGCAGCCTTGTGAAACACCATAGGCTGACAGCCCAGCACCAGGGAGCAAAGGGAAAATCTGGCACAGATTTCTGGAGACATTTGTGACATTTGGCATAGGACCGAGACCAGCATGTACAATTTATATGGCATAAGACATAGACCATTATGTACAGTTATTTGGCATAACACAAAGACGTATGTACAATTTATTCAGACTGAGGATATGTTTGTTAGAATGAAATACAAATTCTGTCAGGCCTGTGGTATTTCATCTTGTGATATATTTGTTTGTTTAATACAGGTGAAAAGTGGCATTTCAGAGTTCCTGTTTAAACTCCTTGTCCTGCAATATCTGATGGATTCTGAGGGAAGGATATGGAAGCGCCTGCCCAGTCACCTGTACATCATTGAGATTTTGGAATGTTCTGACATTTTATTTAGAAAACAATTCAAATCTGTAAGATTTAATTTCTATTTCTATTTAATGTTTATATGAATTACTGTTTCTCTGAACGTCTTAAGGTATAAGTAAAAGCAAAACTTTCTTTTAGATTAGTATAGAGTGGTGCAGGGAAAGAACCTCTGTTGTGTTTTTATCGCTGTCTGTGTCCTCTCTCTCTCTCTCTCTCTCTCTCTCAACACTCTGTCTCCTAATTGTGTTCCAGCATTGTTGCCCTGTCACATACACTTCTAGTAGTGACTATAAGCAGCTATACCAGTCAGGCAGATGGGAAAAAATTTATGTCCCCAGGATGGGTGTTAGTGGGTCAAAAAAACAGGGGAGGACTCCCCGGAGATATAATCAGACAGCCAAAACCCTCGATGGTGGTTGTCTTAAAAATGTATGTATGGTCTGTAACTGGGTGGCATATGCAGTAATAGAAAGAGATTGGTCGCAAGCACCGTTCTGTGCGCTGACCAAGAAAGAGTTAAATCAGACCGTTATTAGAAAAAATATTACATTTTATTTTGAAATGTTAGAAAAAGCAACATCTCTTCCGAAAATAGACATAACACACTTTAAAATCGACAACGTTGTCTCACATAAACACACATACACATATTTCATGGGTAGTCCTTATTTCCCCTTCTAAAGTGGATAGCTTGCTAACAGGACACAGACAGAAAGGCCTCTCATGTGGGAAAAGATTTAATTCTCTTTGGTAAATGTTGGCAGTGAGGATTTGATCTCAACTATAAGTTATTTTTAAAGTTATCCAGTAGATGGAGTTTAGGGGATCATTCCTTTCTATGAGGACAAGAGATATTCAGATGAGTAATAGCCACATCTCGGTTTTCCTTTATAGTAACTGTATTCGGTTAGCGGTTAGTGTGTTTGCATTGCCGCTGAAATCTATAGTTATAGCAGATGGAAAACTTTTAGTATATTATCTTCAAAATCAAGTAGATTAGTAGATTAATGACAAGGTCTCATTTGCAGGTAAATCTTCACCTTATTAGCATTTGATTATGTCATGATCGAGTGATCCATTAAGCATAAATTCATTATGGGATACAGAGGAGAGACAAATTGAGGGCTATATAAAACTCACGGTCTTCCCGAGTTGGTAGTCAGAGGTGCCGGTTTCCTAGACGTTGCAGCTGTTTCCTATTAAAACCTGCTTTGGCGTCTGGATTTTTTCATCCAGTATAGTTTTTTTGGTCCGTGGGTTCTGCTGTAGGTACTAATCGGTTTTCCCCTTCACTATGATGTTAGAGGCAAGAGGAGTTCTGGTGGGTCATGTTGAGGCGATAGTTAAAGAGGGCAAGCCGGTATAAGAAGATGTCAGCATAGTCCTCTGTGATGCGGGATCTTGCACACCAACACAAAACGTGTTAGTGGGCTTGCAGCAAGCAAAATTACTGTGTGACACTATCATTGAGAGAGGTGGGAGGATGCTGCAGAAGTACTGTAACTGCAATGCAAGTCACACAAAGGACATCAAGGGAGTTGTTTTGAGTTGATTTAAATAATGGGGTTTATGTTAACTTTGAGGAAGAAGTTTTTTTTTAATAAAGAAAAAACTTTTACAGCTATTGTATGATGTCTGACTGAGAATTTTTATTTTCTCTTACCTGCAGGTTCCTCGAATTGTGCAAAACGGTTTAATTGACTTCTTCCCCAAGATTCACTGCTGCTCTCCAAAAGAGGTTCTCACAAAAACTACACAAACTGATGTAATTGATTGTGGAGATCCAGGAATGGACATTGAGGAATTTCGTAGTGAATGTTTCCAGAGACCGTACCAATACCTGATTCGCTTTGACCAGGAACAAAATCTAGATGCCTTTGTGTACATAGAAGGCCACACCGAAGGAGACCCAGCAAAATGTCTGCAGATATTTCTTCTTTACTGTGGCATAGTTGACCCTTCATGGTCTGAACTCCGGAACTTTGCATGGTTTCTAAACCTTCAGCTAAGAGACTGTGAAGCTTCAGTGTTCTGTAACCATGAGTTTGTTGGAGATACACTGCAAGGATTCAAAAACTTTGTGGTGAATTTTATGATATTAATGGCAAAAGACTTTGCTACTCCTTCTTTGCACATTGCAGATCAAAGCCCAGGAAGATACGAGATTAATCTTGATGATGGAGTCCAGGAACAAGACCTGGTACCTTTTTTAATGCGCAAGAGATGGGAGTCTGAGCCGCATCCCTATATCTTCTTTAATGAAGACCATGCATCCATGACATTTATAGGATTCCACCTGGAACCAAATAATGCTGGTGGGGTGGATGCCATAAATCCCAGAAATAACCGCATCATCCGACAAAATGTTATGTCCTTGCAACTTTATGCAGGCTTGAGGCTTCAGAGAGTGCCATTCAATACTGATTTTGACCAGTTGCCCAGACATGAGAAAATAAGCAGCTTATGTATGGTGCTAGGAATTCAGTGGCCGATGGACCCTGATGAAACATATGAGCTCACCATGGATAACATGCTAAAGATTTTAGCAATTAAGATGAGGTTCCGATGTGGAATACCTGTAGTCATCATGGGAGAAACCGGTTGTGGGAAAACCAGGCTGATTAAATTCTTGTGTCATTTGTGCAAGGGATTTGTTGAAACAGAAAACATGAAGCTTGTAAAGGTTCATGGTGGTACCACTGCTGAGACAATCTACCAAAAAATCTTGGAAGCCCAAGAAATTGCACAGATTAACAAGCAAGAGGGATGTGAAACTGTATTGTTTTTTGATGAAGCAAACACCACTGAGGCCATTAGCAGCATCAAAGAAGCCCTGTGTGATCACACGGTAGAAGGGGTGCCTTTGCAAGAAGACTGTGGTCTACATATCATTGCTGCTTGCAACCCTTACAGAAAGCACACTGATGACATGATCAAACGTTTAGAATCTGCTGGACTAGGTTATAAAGTGAGAGCAGATGAGGCAAAAGAAAGGCTTGGCTCCATTCCACTGAGACAGCTTGTATATCGGGTACATGCTTTGCCTCCTAGCATGATTCCACTTGTATGGGATTTTGGGCAACTAAACAATGAAACTGAAAATAAATACATTCAGCAGATTGTGCTGCGCTTAGCCAAAGAGATTCGGCTTTCTACTTCTGACATCCAGTTATTAACAGATGTCCTTTCAGCTTCTCAGTCCTACATGAGAGATAAAAATGATGAGTGCAGCTTTGTAAGCCTTAGGGATGTGGAACGTTGCATAGAGGTCTTCAAATGGTTTTTTAGCCGTCATGACAAGCTGAAACATCATCCATCCCTGGCATTGAGAAGAAAAAGTACTGACAGTGTGGTAGATAAAGCAGCTTGGTCTCTGGTTCTTGCTGTTGGCGTGTGCTATCATGCATCTTTGGAAACCAAAGATTCTTTCAGGAGGGCTATATGTAAATTCTTTCCTCTGCCTTATAGAGACCCCACCATTATTTTACAGGAAATAACTTCCATTCAGGAACTCTTCTTAGCAGGTGTACAATTAAGGGACACCATTGCAAGAAATCTTGCTTTGAAGGAAAACCTCTTTATGATGGTCATCTGCATCGAGCTAAAAATTCCATTGTTTCTGGTTGGAAAACCTGGAAGTTCAAAGTCTCTTGCAAAGACTATTGTTGCTGATGCTATGCAAGGCCAAACAGCTCATACAGAACTGTATAAGGACCTAAAGCAGATCCACTTGGTGTCTTTTCAGTGTAGTCCTCATTCAACACCAGAAGGGATTATTGGTACATTTAGACACTGTGCCAGATTCCAGGAAGGGAAGAATTTAAACGAATATGTGTCTGTAGTTGTACTTGATGAAATAGGGCTTGCAGAAGACTCCCCTAAAATGCCTTTAAAAACACTTCATCCTTTGCTAGAAGATGGATGCATTGATGATGACACCTCACCACACAAAAAAGTTGGATTCATTGGCATCTCTAATTGGGCTTTGGATCCAGCAAAAATGAACCGAGGGATATTTGTATCCCGAGGTGACCCAAACAAAAAAGAGCTTATTGAAAGTGCAAACGGAATTTGTTCTTCTGATAAATTAATTCTCCATAAAGTCTCACAATACTTCTCAAACTTCTCAGAGGGGTATCTTAAAGTTTGCAAAACCCTAAAGGAACAGGAAAAGGAATTCTTTGGTCTACGAGATTTCTACAGTCTGATAAAAATGGTGTTTGCTTTTACCAAGCAGTCTCAAACCAACCTGACCCTGGATGAAATTGCTAGGGCTGTTCTGAGGAATTTCAGCGGGAAAGATGAGGTGAATGCTTTGGAAATTTTCCTAGGAGACGAAAGCAGAAATATAGAATATAGCAACACAATAGATTTGGTGATGGAGAACATCAGAAGTGACAGTGATGATTGTCGTTACTTGTTAATATTAACCAAAAACTATGCTGGATTACAAATCCTTCAGCAAGCTTTCCTCAAGGAAAATCAACAACCAGAAATCATCTTTGGCTCCAGTTTTCCAAAGGACCAAGAATATACTCAGATTTGCCGAAATATCAACCGTGTTAAGATTTGCATGGAAACTGGACAGATGGTTATACTACTTAATCTCCAGAACCTGTATGAAAGCCTCTATGATGCATTGAACCAATACTATGTCTATCTAGCTGGCCAAAAATATGTTGACCTGGGCTTAGGCACACATCGTGTCAAGTGCAGAGTCCACCCAAAGTTCCGATTGGTAGTCATTGAAGAAAAAGAAGTCGTGTACAAAGATTTTCCAATTCCTCTCATCAACCGTCTTGAGAAACATTACTTGGATATAAACACATTCCTGAAGAAAGAACACAAGGTTATTGTTTGTAAGTTGGAAGCCTGGGTAGAGGATTTCACTAAAGGCAAACAAGCCTACACCATTGGTAACACCCAGACTTACAGGCCTTCAGATGTTTTTATTGGTTACCATTCAGATACTTGTGCTTCAGTTGTTCTTCAAGTGACAGAGAACATGAAGCAATCACATACTGATACTCAAATGATAAAAGATGTGAAGAACAAAGCAGAACAAGTCTTGCTAAACTGTGCCACACCTGATTCTGTCATCCGCTTAGGCCGGAAAGAATTGATTGAGGAATACTTCAAGAAGCAGAAACATGGTTCATTATTAGATTTTCTTTACTATCATGTGACAACTGGATATGACAATCATACCATTTTCACGGAGGTATGGTATTACTTTGCCTGATTTTCTAAACCTGGTTACAATCAGTTATTCCTTTTTTTTGCAATAAACGTAGAAATTGTTCCACCGGCTTGGTAATCACCTAGGTCTTAAAGTCCACTAAGCATTATTTACAACTGAACTAGTAACATAAGTGTAACACACCAGGCCCTGCCTAGTGCGAGGGGCATGAGGATCTCAGCTTCAGATCTAATGAAGTATTTGGGGGGCGTACTGAATGTATAGTGATGATGAATAATCCTTGCTAGGGGATTTGCAGGCAATCTCATATAACAGGTGATGGCATAGAGTATTCACGCTAATTGGGTAGTACAGCGGAAAGCGCTTGGAATGCCCAAGGAGCCTGCAACCGTAACAGTTCAGGAGCAATCAAAGACGGGGGTATAGTTTATGTAGCAAAATGACAATTGATGAGAAGTACTTGCTGTTAGAAAGTCCGTGTGCCACAGCACCACCCAGTGGAGGCCGGAGGAATTGGTTAAGAAGTCCTTCCTTGTGAATAGGAGACTGGAGCACTGTGGGAGTCTTGAGGAGCTGGGGCACAGCAAGGCAGAGAGGAGACTGGGAGAGGAGGCGGCCCGAGAGCAGAGAAGGGGCACTCGTCCGGCCCAATAGTGTGGAGGGTTCGGCTGGTGCGGCGGAGGTACTTGCCTGACGTCTACACCATTGAACGAACGTCAGGCAAGTGCCTCTGCTGGCTTAAATAGAGGAAGGGGGAGGAGCCGGATGACGTCACCTGTGACGCGCCGGTACTCCGACGGAGCGGGGTGACGTCACCTAGGCTGACGCCGCCGAGGCTTCGACGGAACTGCCGGGACCCGATTGGGATCGTTACAATAAGCTCCATTTAATTTCAGAAAAAACACCATACTTTATGCAGACATCCCAACTCTCCCGGATGCTCTTGGAGTCTCCCGCTATTAGATAGCGGCTCCCGGCTGCCAGAGAGAGAAAAATGTTCTCCCGGAAAGGTTTACTCTGCTATATCTAGCAGAGTAAACCATTCCCTGCGATCTGTTTTTTTTGTTTGTTTTTTCTGACATCGGGGCCGCCGTCAGTCAGAGGGGAAAAAAAACAGCATAGGAATGCATAGCTAGATTGCTATTGGCTATTTCACTTTGCAATAGCCAATAGCAGATAAGCTATTGCACCCGCCCACTGCTGCTGTCAATCAGCAGAGGGGGATCTGAAGTTCTCCATCCGGTCCTCTTCTAGCGATTTACAGCAGCAGAGGGCGGGTGCAATAGCCAGCTTGCTATTGGATATTCCAAATTGAAATATGCTAGTTTTTTTCTCACCCGATGGGGGAAGGGCAGAGGGCACCTCCCTGAAATGAGAAGGGCACCTCCCTTAAAATAGTTTTTTTCTTTTTTTTCAGGTTGGGATCCCTGCTTTATGTGAATTATATCAAATACCTAATTTCTTCAAGAATCCTACATATTAAAAAAATGTTACACAGTGTGTGTGCCCATGCATCCTCCTTTATATGTTAGAGCTCTTGATAGGGGAGCAAACATATCATGGCTCTCCCAGACAATTTTAAATTAACCCATTGAGATAAAAATGAGAGAACTGCCAACGGTTTTTTGTCTTTGAATGTGCAGACATAAGGGTCTGTCATCCTTTTTCTTTTATTTAGGGCGTCTCTGACCTGAAACAAGTAAGAAGTAGTGATGTCAGGGCTCCTTACCTCCATACTTGTCCTGAGCCAGTCAGCAGGGCTAGATTCTATTCTAACAGATTTTTCTAAAAGCTGAACTTCAGGCGGATATAAAAGGCACACATTAATACAACTCTTTAATTACTAATACGTCATTATATTATTTTTAAATACGAGCATTATCGATATCTGAACTTAACTTGGTATCCACCTCTTGTAGTTTACTGTACAGTGTTTACAGCAGAGAGAGGTAGCAGGAGAGCAAGAAACTGGTCAGGTATAATAGAGTGCAAGAAGAATGCTGCCTATTCTTGCCAGTCATTGTGTGGGAGTGGGGAAGGGACGTGCTGTGTAGGGACTATGCTGTGTAGCAGAGCTATGTAAATCTCAGGATTGGATGGGCAAAAAAATAAAAAATTTTGGCAGGTAAAACAGCTCCCTTGTATGTATTTTATCTTTGTATTTAGCTGCTTGCCTAAAGTTCAGTTTTAAAAGCCAATGAACTTTCAGTTTAAATTAGGTAAATATATTCCATTTACATCATAACAAAAGGTGCTCAAAATCATACAGTTTGTGTATTTTGGAAATCAGCCACATCCTAATTCAAAAAAAGTCTGTCCCTTGCCAGTATGATGCATAAAAGGACCATTGCTGTCTGTGTAGAAGCTGTGCTCTCTCTACAGAGGTCCAACACATCTCTTACTGAGTCAGAGCTAGAGCTCTCCATTCAGCAGGAAGCATGACATTTGCAAGCTGGAGAGCTCTGACTCAGAATGGGTGTGTCGTGCCTCTGCAGAGAGACCACTGCTTTCACACAGAGAGCAACGTTCCTTCTCTATAGCTTGCTGACAGGGGGCAGACATTTCTATTCAGGTTGTGGCTGCTTTCCAAATAAGCAAACTGTAGGACTTTAAGCAACGTTTGCTTTGCTGTCTCTGGAATATATTTAGCAGACTTAATTGAAAGTTTGAACTTTGATATATGAAATCAGTGGGAGCCATGCTTTGTCCGACCCCCATTTCTACTATTAATAGCTATCCTATCTCTTGGAATGTTCCCTTTAAAGTAGTATGAAATAGAAGTCGTAATGATTCTGAGTTTCTGGCTTAGAATATCAGTTATTGCATACTATCAGCCTTCCCAGCTTCAGGGACAGATACAAAACCAACAGTAGCCTTTAATTAGAGATCTAAACAGCTTTGTCATTATAAACTATAGAAATGTTGAATTTGTTTTTAGTAATTTTGTGTAGAGTACAGAAGTGTTTGGGTTTCTGTCAGGTTTATGGCTGTTGGGTTCCCCATTGTAGACATTCATTCTCACTATCTGTTCTGGTAACTGTCACCAAGGCAGAAAGTGAGAGCAAATCTCACATTTTACTTGCCATTATAATAACAGAAGAGGGAATATATGCAGTATAACTACGTGATTTGTGGCAAATGTTAAACGGATTTCCCAGCAGAACGAGGACAAATGTTTTAATGCAGCTCTGTAATCCTTAATATATAATGTAATTGTTAATGCATCATTCAATTTATTTTTTTAAATGCAAGCAGTGCAAATACCTGAATTTGACCTGACATCATCCATTTGAAGTCCCTGTACAGCAGGACTGGAGTGTGGAAGGAAGAAGCAGCACAAGGAGCCAATCCGTTCATGTGCTGACAACAAGTATGCTAAAGGAAGAAAAAAAGCATAATGATTGCGAAATAAGCTCATCACTGTGCTGCTTTTCCTTTCACCGTCCAGTCACAAGCTGGTGCAGGTCCAGGATGACCTGGGCTCAGAGGTATTGGGTCGATTTATCCTGGACATCAGACCTCTAGTGGCAAAAAAGTACAGCAGGGGAAATCTCTGTGTTGAAGCTGAATATTGCAACAAAAGCAGTTTGTGTTGTTATTTCATTATTTTATTTTAATGGACTATTCATTTTTATCTTGTTATGTTTGGCTGGAGTTCTGCCTTAATCTTGGTTCATTCTTATTAGATCACAACATTTTCCCGTCTTCTGACGTCTGTTGACAGAAAGGTTTTAGAAACTGAGTTACAAAGCCAAGTCAGTAGCATTGAAATTTTGTCCCTGCAGCAGTTTGATACAGAGTTCTCATTCTTGAAAAAGATTCGGTAAGTTTTCACTTGGCAGTGCAGAAGATAATAGAATTATCATCACACCCAGTCTAGACCGTTTGCTGGATGAACCTTGGCGATATTTGTACAGGTTCCTTAAAATCAGTAAATGGCATTGGCTGTCGCTTGTGGTCACTGTAGAGTTTAAATGTAATCGTTTTACAGAAATATTTAATGCATTTGAATCAGATGGAAGTTTTATTTTCATGCAAATTTTCTTTATTAACATTTTAACTAGTAACTATTACAGATGCATATGGACAAATTCAATAAATACAAAACGTATTTGATATAAATATGCAAAATATTGCCGTATTTTAAGAAAGGATTTGGAAGTATATCAAGAAGCATAAGTAATAAGAAATTAAGAAAAGAAGATATTGAAGTGACACTAAACTCTATAAGAAGATATTGAAGTGACACTGAGGAGTTGAATCTTAAAAATGCATTCAAGTACCTTAAAGGAGAACTATGGGGTTAAGGCTTTTCCCCATAGTTCTCCTTAGGGTAATGGGAGGACACAAACTAGCGTCCCCCCATCACCCTAGGCTCAGTATACCGCGAGCTGTAGCTCGCGGTATACCGAGATGCCGCAGTATACCGCGAGCTGCTGCTCGCGGTACACTTAGACGCCGCAGTTAAAGCTGATCCCGACAATTGTGCCGGGATCCGCCCAGCTGCGTGACTGACAGCTGGCTCTGCCTATCTAGAGGCAGCTGTACCCTCCCTTGTCCGTTCCGCCAGTGAGCGCTGGCGGATCGGAGGGGGGAATCCAGCCCCTCCCCTGTCACGGCAGAGAGCCATGACAGGATCAAGAGGTGAGCGAATGCCGGTATGGGTTTGCTCACCTCCCGATCTACTGAGCCGACCTGTGACAGTCTCATTGTCACAGGTCGGCTAGAACTATGAGGTGAGTGAAAAGCACTCACCTCATAGTTCTCCATTAACTAGGAACAAAAATGTATCTTATTTGTTTATCACCTGTAGATCCTCAATTCATCTCTGAATTCACTGTCCTTCCCTATGAAGGGTGGCTACTTTTGATCCACATAGTCCCTGTGTGTGTTGTCAAATAGCCACCACTCCAAGCTTGCTTGTTAAAGCCTCATTCACACAGCCAAGAGTTGGCCCGTACAGATCCATGTGGCGTGCATTGTACGCAGCAGCCTGTTCTCTATGGAAGGATGCGGGTGTCCATACTCCTACATATCCGAGCACGAACACCCACATTCTCCCCGATGTACAGCTTGGGTGAGCGTACGGAGTTGTACGGCTGCATCCTCCCATAGGAAAGAACAGGTTGCTGCGTACAATCACACGCAGCACCTGTCCTTCCCAGGACATAGGTAGGGTACTTGAATGCATTTTTAAGATTCAACTCCTGAGTTTAGTGTCACTTTAAGTTGTAATTTAACATCAGTTTTCACATATGATAATATTTAGTACTTTTGTAATTCTTATTACATAAGGATACATGTAATTGGAATATCAAATGTCAATAAAATGAGGATATAAGATGAACACTAATAGTAATAATAGTAGCAACAGCAATACTGGCACAATTACAAACAAGAATGATAGTTGCACATATCATTTGTTTTTCTTCCTAATGCAGGAGTTTTCTTGAATGCTCATCTGGAAATCTAATATTGATTATACAGACTGATTTTGAAGAAGGATCCCAAGGAGCAAATCTTGTGGCATCAGCAAAGTAAGCTTTTTTTACTGTACTGACATTTTAACTAAATTAATTTAATTGAGGTGATGCAAAAAAGAATGCGTGTATTTTCTCATGCCATGAAGGAACTCAATAGATAATATATTATATAATAGATATTATATGATACATAATATACCTCTGCCTACTATGTCCTTGATCATGGTTTAGTAAGTCACATTCAACTGGTCTCCTTTACAATAAAATCTTTTAAAAACCTAAGCATGCTGATACACATAGTTGTTCCCCGCTTTGTTATAGACAATAGGTTTCAGAGTATGGTGGCCAGTGGTATTGCATGACGGTAACATCCATGGCTTTCCTTCTAGCAGTCTAGGATAGATGGAGCAACTATAATCAGTACAGCCCCAGAGATTACCACAGTATGCTGTCTAGTACATGGGAGTACATGAGACATTTTTGTTCCATTATTTTAACTGTTAAATACTTTTGAAAATCTTTGTTGTTCTTTTTAGGTACGCTGCTGTGAATGAGATACAAAAGGTGAATCTCAAAGAAGCGTCTGTATTTGTCTACTTCATAACCAAACTTCCCAGAATGCAAGGAGGCACTTCTTATGTAGGCTTCCGAGGAGGTAAAATTGTTTCTACTTCAAATCCTATTCTGTGCCCATACTTCACTTAACCCATGCCATATAACATCTGACTTAAATACTTAACATCTTACTAAAATAAATGGGATAATTAAACAGCACCTTGATCTGAGTTTGTTAATATTCAGTCCTAACCATTAGCTGTGTCCTCTTTCTTCTAGGATCAGAAAATTCTAAACCCACTGCCTAAAAAAGGAATAGTTCGGTTTGTGACTTAAAGACCAAATCCAACCAATCAAACTAATATTTTTGTTTGGGTGGATGTAAATGTTTTGACTCACCTGCTAGCTACTTGGAAACCAGTATCACTAGCCCTACGTTACACTACAGATTATCAGGAGTTCAAATTACACACAGAGATGAAAAAGTCAGAAGAGGGTCATACCCCCATTATCTACTCTGCATGTACACTCTGCCTGGAGTTAGCCAAGAGAGTCAAAGTGAGCAGCTAGTGCTGGGCTTTCTCTTTAGGAAATTATACAATTTGTATTGAAATAAGCAAAAACTGTGATATAAAACAGGTTATAAACATTAAAGTGTATTTCCACTTTTGCAGTCAGATTTGAGAAAACCCCTCTATATGTTCGTTATGTGTTCCCAATCATACAGCATACCAACATTTTTTATTTTTTTTTACCTTTTAGATAGTTGTTGCAGCAGGCATAATAGGTGAATCCATTTTTTTTTCTTAACACCTTCACAGTGATCTGTAGTGATAGGAAGACTCAGGACTGAAATTTGTGGATTGTGATTCTCTCATTCAGAAACCAGGCTTTTAAATCTCTCACCCTTTAAGACAGCCAGTGTTTAAATCTATGATAATAAAATGAGCCAGCACAGTACAACATAGTTAACAGACCGCTCACCCCTCATAGCCCCTCCTAACATTACAAAGATGGAGAAGCAAGTAGAAATTGTAATCCTTAAGAAACCAAGAAACCCTAACCTAAGTAAAAGCAATTTAAACGCAAGAAGCATTTAAAAAATATTTTTAGGTGTTATCCCAATTCGGCCGTGGAAAACACTTTACACAAGAATTATCAAAAACATTGTACTTTCCCTATAATGAAGTATCTAGAATGAAAATTCAGACTGCCTGGTAATCAGGACTTTTGTGAGGCAAACAACTTAGACAGATTTCTAGTGAGATATGAAATTCCAAAGGGCAATTCAGTCCATCAACAATCATGATTGACCCTTTAATGATCTTTACTTTTTGCAGGATTGTGGCAGTCCATTCACATAGATGATCTGAGGAAGTCTAAGGATATGGTTGATGATGTAACAGCACTTCAGGATCTCACCATAAGCCGTCTGTTCCATGCTGAAGGTAAGCTGGAGTGATAAAAATATAAATGCATTTCTGCAAGATATTCCAGGAAACCTGTGGAAAATCATAATCTCAGGATTTCTTTAATGTCTCTCTTATGCGTCCTGCAAGCCATTCTCCTCTTAAATGAAAACAACTGATCTAAGACTGGCTAAGAAATGGCTGTTGCAAATCTACTTCCCTGGTCACCTCTTTTCTCCCAGCATGTAATCGGTCATTGAAGAAGGCAACCTTACCTATGTGGCCAAAATGAAACACAAATGCTATGTGCTTTCTGTTTTGATTTCTTTGTTTTATTATTACAGAGAAAAAAGAACCAGGAAAGAATGATACTAAGCACAAAACAAACATGGAAACAGAGATGGAGGTAGAAATGATCCATGGAAATGAAGACAGTGAGATCCACGGCAGGGGTGATGAAGTGGACAAGAACGAAAAGATGGATATAAATATGGAAGGCAAAATGGAGCCTGAAAATGAAACTTCTGAAGCGCAAGAAATGGAAACTGATGATCCACTGCCCAGACCAGAGGATGTAAGAATAGATCCAGTAATGTCTGCATTAAATAGATTATATGAGGATCATTATGAAATTGATGTGTTAGTTTAAAAACACTTTAGGTGTGACCATAGAAGTTCATGAATTCAAGGAAGCACCAGGGCTGGCTTTAAACAGAATGGGAGCCTTTGCAGAAATCAAAGTGGTGCTTCTCTGTCAATACAGTCCAATTTGTAGTTGTTCTGTATAGATTTGCTTTATGTTCACAACTTTTTTTTGCCAGCGAAATATTACAGATAAACATTTCATATGTACCACATGCTTCTAGCAAGTAGAGCTCCAGAGACCTGATCACTGGAGGTTTTCTGCAGTTTTACTTATGTGCTGTGAAATTCCTGGATGATATGCTTTTATGTAAAATGTTAAAAAAATTAGGAAGAAGCAGTCAACAAGTGCAGAGCTAGTACTGGACCTCCTTATTAAAAACTTGCGCACAAATTGTTGGGACATCCAAAATGTGTAACTGCTATTAACATAGGAAGTGAGGGGAAATCCTCCAATGGTGAAAACTGTTCTGGTGACAGCTGTCTAAGAGGGAATATCTTACAATTCTGTTCTCTGTCCAAAACTAAAAAAAAAGAGTTTTAATTTTACATACACTTTAAGGTTTTCAGTGTAATTCTTATGTTGTTTTTAAATTTTTGTTTTTGCTGTATTTTTGTGATTGGATTTCACATATACTTTCACTCTAGCGACTGACTGTGAATGTGCTTTGGCACTTCTACTAAACAGTTGCTGAAATTGAGCCGAGAAAGAGCTCTGACCAGTTTATTCTTAGTTTATTTTTCCTGTTTTGGGTGTTTCTGTTCACTTTTGGATATTCCTGAATGCTTTATTGCATTTTCCCTTGGAAGAAGTGTTTATTCCTGATCACCATGAAGTTGTACAAGCTTATTTTCATATATTTACAGATGTTGGACACCACCATTCTCATCCGAAGCTGTATTCAGAATGCCATAGGCTTATTAAGGGATGAGGAGAATATTGAAAGCCGTAGCACCAGGAGGATTGAGATCCTAATAAGCCTTATGAGCACAGAAGATCAGATAAAGAGTATGTTATCTAATTTGTTGTGTATGAATTTATTCAAGCTTTAGCTTTATACTGTATGAATAGATACAACTTGCCTTTTGGTGAAATACAGCATGTAGTTGTTTAAGCCTGTGGTCTCTACGTACACTGTGCTCAGTATTGAAATTTGTCAATAACATTATTAATCCAAAATTCTTAATTTTACAATACACCAATTTTTAGCTTGGTGTATTTGAAAACTGCCTTTACTGGTACCAACTTCGAAATTACAAATAACAGTCCAGTCATGGGATCCTTAGTATAATTTGAACAGATGGGTGACAGCCATTAATACCACATTGATTTATTTCTTTAGAGGGTAATAAATAGAATTGTTTACTGCATGTGCTGTAATTCAGTCCAGAAAGAAAATCTAAGATGTTGAACTGCATTTAGTAGAATAAAAGGGTTGGTACCTTCAGCAACCTGTCAGATTTCCTATCATATGGGAGGCTTTGAGGCTGCCATTGCTGACATCTCCTCTGAAAATGCGAAATGCCTGGTTGTTATATTGACTCTTTTGCTTTAATACATTGAACCATTGTCCTAGAGTAAGTATGCAGGTAACCTTTCTTCAACTTTCTTGTTCTGCATACATGTTTTAGATTAGTGTTCTAGAGGTATAAAAGCCCAACAGCTAGTAATTTCAGAAGGATGGTGGCCCCATATTTTTCTCATGATAGGTTTACTTTAAAGTAGAGGTGCACCGAAATGAAATTTTCAAAACCAAACGAAACAAAAAAAAAAAATGTCAGACCAAAACCAAATTCTTTTTTTCTAACCTTTACAAATTTTTTAAATTGTTTGATTTATTTTTTATTAAATATTACTTTTTTTTTACTCTACTGTTGGGGGCTTCGGGGGAAATATTGGGGGTCTAAACAGATCCCTAATATTTCCCTTTTGAAATAGAAAAAGAGATTGAGGACACAGAGATTGAGGTCGCAATCTCTTATTCTGCAGCCCCTGTTATAAATGAACAGGAATCCTCTATACTGAGTTTCTCTATACTATTCCTGTTCATTTATAACTTGTGGAGATAGTATGTTTACCTTGTCCACAATCATGAATGAACAGGAAGTGATGTAGATCACTTCCCATTCATTCATAATTGGGGACACAGTAAACATACTCTGTCCTCGATTATGTACAAACACTCAGCAATCACTGATCGCTGAGTGCTTGTACCCGCTCTCCATCCTGACTCGCTGTCACAGGAGGCTGAGCGAGCGGTGTGGGGAGGAGAGCTCAATGTCCTCTAACAGCTGACTCCTCACCCATGCCGCTGCTCTCCTGCGGGGCTGTGCGGGAAGAGAGCTCAGCCTCCTGTAACAACACTGACAGCTGTCTCCGCCCCCACACCGCTCTCCCAATCTATCACAGGAGGCTGAGTGGTGCAGAAGGAGAGACTCCGGCCGCTCACATCACTCTCCCTTGCACCACTCGGCCTCCTGTGGCAGTTTCTTGTCTCCCCGCTGGACGCCTCGCTGTGTCAGAGGGGACACATAGCAGCGACCACCACGGAGGAGAGTAACCAGGGATGCACTGCTTTTTTGGCCGAAAGATGGCACTTTCTGCATTTTGCCAAAAGTGCCATTGTCGGCCGATATATTTCGGCAGCCGAAATTTCGGTGCATCTCTACTTTAAAGTGCATGTCTACGCATTACCCATATGCACCCTAAAACTCATCCCTCCTTCTCTAGATAATGCCTAGCAGTCATTATTTTTTTCTTTTACCATGTTCCTGGAGCGATAACCAACTTTCATTACTCCCTGTGAGTAATGCAGCCAGGTGCAGGATGGAAGTTATTTTATTCCAGGAACTAGGGGACTAACTTTTTGTAGCCTTTGTTTTTATTTCAGTGAAATCACTTCTCTATAATTCTGGCACCTAGACTGACTAGTTTTTGGCACTCTGTATTACTTTATCATCCTCTATATTTATTGACATTTTAATGTGTTTTGTGCCCATAGGCTCTTTCCTAAAAATGCTGAAATACCGCCTGTTCAAGTTGCTAAAGACGCAGGAAGAAAATGTATATAATCCTGAACAATGGGTCATACGGGAGGCTGCAAATCAAGATGCTTTGCAGGAAGCTGGAACTTTCAGGTACCTCACAATAAAGTAAGTGTACGTGGCCAGTCATATAGGCACAAAGTGACAAGACGTACACTGTACGTCTCCCGTCACGAAGGGGTTAAAGCTAGGTTTTGATTTATTTCTGGATAGAGGAAGAAAGAATTATAACTCATGTCAGGTTTGTATTGCTGACACTATCCCCACTTTGGGAGATTCCTCTCTATTTGTACTTGTGACTTTTGTCAATGAGACTGAAAGTGGGCCATAGTCTTACATTTTGAGTTGTCACCAGAACAGAATTGAAAGGAAAAGCCAGTGGAGACACTTATTCTGGTTACAACTGTCTAAAGGTGCCCATACTTTTGTCTTGCGATGGTTGTAAGCTAATCAAAAGCTCGTACGATCTGCCCATCTTGGACAGGCAGATTGTACTTTCGATCGAAAGCCCGCCCTGCTGCACACCGGACCGTTCGGCATTTGTCTCCCGAGAGTGGCACTAACCCGGCACTAACGATTCTCGGCGGGTTTTCAAGCCTGCACGGGAGACAAAAGACGTGCGACCGTACAGTAGAAACGGTCGCACACCTTCCATACACCTGCCGATTATCGTACGATAGCGGGATTTCCCGCGATTATCGGACGTTTATCGGCAGGTGTATGGGCACCTTAAGAGAAGATTCCCTTTACATCGGAGAGATCTCCTCTCCCATGCGGTTGTGTTTTCAGACAGGAAGTGAAGGAAAATCTCCCTTGTGGGACAAAGATAGCAAAAATTACTTTTTTAATCATTCCCTACTCAATACAAAAAAAGATTTGGTTTTAGATACAATGTATACTTCATTCATTTTTTAATGTTTGAATTGCCTATTCCTAAGAAAGAAGAGTAACCTAGTTATGAAACATTAAACTGAGGGGTGCTGTAAAGCTTTCTCGCACAGGGCGCCTAAAGGCCTAAGGCCGGCCCTGATTGCAGCATCATCATAGCTATACTTGTATATCCCAATGGAGAAAAATCTTAAAACACTTTCAGGAAGCTGGTAGCTTTATTTATTGTAAGCTGCTGTATTAAAGAAACAGATATGATTGCTGTAACGTTCTTTGTATAATACAACAAAAATATTTTGCTGTCTAGGCAAACCCTTTGGAAACGTGTTCAGACCGCTGTCACACCGCTTCTGTCCCAAATCTTGTCTGTTGTTGATCGTAATGCCAACCTGGACCTCCTTGTGGCAAAGCATGTAGAAGACTATGTGAAATGCCTATGGATGCACATTTTTCAAGATGAAAATCTTCTGCCTATCTCAGATAGTCACAGGTAAGTTTTACTACAACGTCTAAATAAATGAGCAAAACATTTTCTTTTGTTTTTATTTATATTTTCCTTCCTCCAGAAAAAAATACAATTCATGTACACCCTCCAAACACCTTATATTTACCTTTACAGTGCTCCCCTGCCATTCCTTCCTCTGTTGCAGCTAACACAAAATACTAGGTGTTGGCACTTACATGGGTCAATGTCACGTCCTCTGTCAAGTGAGAGATGCAGAGAGTACTGCAGCATGGGGGGAGGTCACATGCTTTGCCCACACTGAGAATCACAGGTTATTATTCAGCAGCTGTGACCGAGAAAGAAGCTGCATTGGGGCACAGGGAATGTGAGTAGAACTAGGTCAGGTTCGCTATGAAAAGCATCTGTCACTTTGGCCTGAATGGGCAGGGAGACAAGGTCTCTTTAAAGTGGATCTGTCACTAAAAATAACACTCCGTATAAATCTGTATGACTTGTCAGCATTACTACATTAAATTAAGTACATTAATATTGGAAAAAGGCCTTTTTCTTTTTTTTTATATGCTGCTCCTTGTCTCTAGTCTAGGATCATACGACTTTTGTGGGCATTTCCATCATTAGAGACTACATGGAAGTCATTGTTTTCACTTTGTCTGGAATATTTGCTGTAAGATAAGAGAATGAGCAAAGCACAACCAAGAAGCTGAGCCCACATGAGTAATGAGCCAATATGGCTGTGGTAGGATCTATCCTGTATTAAACAATCAGTGCTGCTTAGACAGTCATTTAAGCTGTGATTACAATTATTGCTAAAAGTTTGCTTGTCTGACTTTGCTGTTTGTGTTCCAGTTCACAGAATGAAACCATTCTGGTGAAGAACTACATGAATATCGCTGTATTTGGGGAAAATTGTTTACCTTTCAGCTGGAGGATTAAAGATTATCTGGAAGATATTTGGACTCAGGCCCAGCACATTGATACTACAGAAGGTAATATTCATCCTGTGTATTTCAAATATTAGTCGGTACATTAACCTGCCATGTAACCTTAAAGCTCATTTGAAAATGTTGAAAATACAACCTAAGTGCAGTAAATACAGGTCAGCGTTTGCAGTATTACCATTCATTTTGATTGTAAAGCAGCTAGAGCTATAGTAGAAAAGCCTGTCTCTTAGTGTGGTGCTTCAGAGTAGAACTGCTGCTCTCTGTGTAGAAGCAACAGTCTCTCTGCTGTGCTCGTATGCATTCCCTGCTGAACCAGAACTGGAGCTGATTGGACTCAATGGAAGGAGAGTCAGACCACTACAGGACCACTGCTTTCACAGAGTCAGCAGTGGGATAATATTTTCTACTATGGCTGTAGCTGCTTTCAATACAAAACAAATGGTGAGAATGTGGTGACTTACTGGACTTTAAAGGATAGGCGCACTATGCTAACCTAGCTCCAATTTCCCAGATGCATACTTCATTTCTGCAACCTCAGGTGATTGTTTATATCTTGTTTCTGATCTCCCATTCACCAGCCATGCCTGGGCAGTAGCTTCCCATACTGTTCTATTTGGTCAATCTCCTGAGCATCTCCTGTCTAGAAATGGTTTCATATAACCCTGTTGGAGGCTATCACACCTGCAAAGTAAGTATGCATCTGGAAAGGGGGAGTTGGAAGGCACTGTAGGGGCATATTTAAAAGTATAACCAATATGTTTGTTTATAAAGTTAGGTCTCTGTGCTGGCTGTATTGAATGGTAGTACTGTAAATTGTCCCAGCGGACTGCACCTTTCCCCTGCTTGTTGTAGACTAATTTAAGCAGTTACCACTCTGTTATGTAGACAAAGACATACAATTTGGGGTCTCCAGCTGCTTTGCGAAAGTCTGCATGTCCTGTGTGGTGCTGTACATTTAAAAAGGATAGGGCTTAAGCTGTTGCATGAATGGGGGAATTGAGAGAGAAGTACTTTGTGTATGGCCAGCCTTAGTTAATGTAAGCTACTCACAGTATATCCATTGCTATGTATGTGCATCTGTTTGGATGTTTACATAGATTATAAAATTAGAGTAAAACCACATTTGAAAAGGTTTCTTTTAGAGGTGCACCTAAATGAAAATTTCAAAACCGAAACAAAGAAAAATGTCATGCCGAAACCGAAAATGTTTTTTATTCCAACTTTTTAAAATATTGTATTTTTATTTACTTATTCACTTTTATTAACAGACCCCTGATATTTCCCTTTTAAAGTAGAAAAAAAGATTAAGGACACAGAGTCCTCAATCTTTTTCTGCTGCCCCTGTTGTAAATGAACATGAATCCTCCATGCTGAGTGTTCCTGTTCATTTATGACATGTGGATATAGTATGTTTACCATGTCCACAATCATGAATGAACAGGAGGTGATGTAGATCACTTCCCATTCATTCATGATTGAAGACACAGTAAACATACTCTGTCCTCAATTTACAAACACTCAGTGATCACTGAGTGTTTGTACCCGCTCTCCATTCTGACATGCTGTCACAGGAGGCTGGGCGGGGCAGTAGGAGAGCTCATCCTTCTGTGACAGCAATGGCAGCTGTCTCCGCCCACACCGCCACTCTCCATCCTGGATTGGCTGGCACAGGAGGCTTGGCTGGGCGGAAGAAGAGCTCAGCCTCCTGTGACAGCAATGGCTGTCTCCGCCCACACCCCCGCTCTCCTGATCTGTGACAGGAGGCTGAGCGGTGCGGGGAGGAGAGATGCCGGCTGCTCACAGCGCTCGGCCTCCTGTGGCGGTTTCTCTCCTCCCAGCTGGGACACAGAGCAGCACCCAGTGGGGAGGATAGAAATCAAGGATGCACCGCATTTTCTGCATTTTGCCAAAAGGGCCATTTTCGGCCGATATATCAGTGCATTCCTTGTTTCTTTTCAAGCCAGTGTAGGTTCATATATTATTGTATATAAATTAAATATATGGATTGTATATATTTATGCATATGTGTGCACCAAGGACCTTTTACTTTTAATCTAAGGGGGTTATTCACTAAAGAGCCTAAGGATTTAGCCAAACAAAAGAATAATCCTTCGGCTGCAGAAACACTTCGGTTCCGCCGATTCGAAGGACTGCTGTATGCTCCATTCTCAATAGTGCATACAGCAGCCGAAGACAGCTAAAGTAAACAGCCGAACTGAATGAACATGGTTCGGTTCGGCTCGGCAAAGCCAAACAAACGGCTGTAGGGGGGAGAAGCAGGGTCCGAAGCGGATGGAATCTCAGGAATTGTGTCAAAAAAATTGAATAAAAAAAAAAATGCATGGGGTTCCCCTCCCCATTTCATACCAGACCCTTTAGGTCTGGTAGGAATGTTAGGTGGGCCCCCGATGTAAAAAAAAAGCGGGCCCCCCCCCTAAAATTCCATACCAGCGCACCCTCGCCCCTCCACTCCAGGCCACATGCTCTCAACATTGGGAGGGTGTTTTTCCAGGGGGGGACCCCGGTGAAAGCACCTTGTCCCCATGCCGATGAGGACAAGGGCCTCTTTCCCACAACCCTTGTACGGTGGTTGTCAGGGTCTGCCGGCAGGCGAGGCCTACCTGCATCTGGGTGCCCCATGGACACCCAGATGCCACCTGAATGGGTAGGGGGTAGTTGCTACCCATACTCATTCGCCATATAGTCCACAAAAAAGTAAATAAACACACCGCACCTTCAACAAAAGTCCTTTATTTGAACAAAATGAAAAGCCAGTGACATCACGGGACTCGCTCCACCCATCTGTTGACATGGAATTTGAGTACAGTGAGCTGGCATGCAATGAAAACAAATAAGTGGACTCGCTCCGCCCATTTGTTTACAATCTGTCTGTCACGGATCGGGGCTCACGTGTATGAACTGGAGTAAGGTATGTGGACCCTTTCTACTACACTGGCAGGGACACTTAGAAAAAAGGGTCCAAGCAGTGTAGGCTGACGACTCCCAGAGCTGGAGTACAAGCAGTGAACAGAGCAGGGAAACTGAATGAGGCAGTGAAAGACAGCTTAAGCTGGAAGTTCAAATACAAGGCAGGGTGCTGTAGTGCTGATTAGGTAGCATGGGATGCTGAGTAGGTGGCATGGGGTCCCCCAGGATGTGGAATCTAAGGGCCAGCCGGTATTCGCCAGAGCTCCTGATGGTGGAGATGGGCTTGGCTGCGTGCTGACCCAGGTCACAATCCCTAGGTCCTCCCAACTCACCTAACAGGTACAGGGTACAAATCAAAGGTTAGGGACAGGCTGAAGACTAAGACTTCCAGGGACAAAGCGAAGCACAGGGCAGACTGTAGACAGGGATTTCCAAGGACAAAAGAAAATCACAGGGTAGACTGTAGACAGGGATTTCCAAGGACAAAAGCAAAGCGCAGGGTAGACTGTAGACAGGGATTTCCAAGTATAAAAGCAAAGCACAGGGCAGACTGTAGACAGGGATATCAAAGGACAAAAGCAAAGCATAGGGCAGAATGTAGACAGGGATTTCCAAGGACAAAAGCAAAGCACAGGGTAGACTGTAGACAGTGATTTCCAAGGACAAAAGCAAAGCACAGGGCAGACTGTAGACAGGGATTTCCAAGGACAAAAGCAAAGCACAGGAGCAGACTGTAGATAGGGATATCCAAGGACAAAAGCAAAGCACAGGGCATACTGTAGACTGGAATATCCAAGGACAAGCCAAAGGTTCGGTACATAGGAAAACTTCCAGGAATTCAGGGTCAATCGCAAATGGGGGACTCAGCAACTAGCTTGGGAAAGCACTGCTCGGGCCGCGTGCCATTCGCTGCCCTGAGTTTAAGTAGAGACAGGAAGAGGGAGGATCCACAGAATTGGCCACACGCGGACTGAACTGATTGGCCGACAAGCTGTATAAGAAACAGCAGGAGAGGTCGGCCGACACCTAAAGCTGCCAGACTGGTGCAAGTGTGAGTCAGGTTCAGACCACATGCCTGGAGGACTACGAGCACCAGCACAGCCATGCATACCTGCAGAACCAGGAGTAAGAGGTATGTATATACTTGTAGAACTACAAGTAATAGCTCAGCTGCAAGTCTGCAGCTGAACTGTGGCACTGTCATTTTGCACATGTTCGGCTGGAGCGGACAGGTCAGTGGGCAGCGGGAATTTTTTATTTCAGCGAGTCGGCGGGCATCGTTCATTATGATTGACAAGGATCTACCTCGCTACACCACGTGATTGACCTTTTGGATTACATCTTTGGACAATTAAAAAAATAAAATAATAAAGGACTTGTTAACCTCCTTGGCGGTATTCCCGAGTGTGGCTCGGGGTTAATTTTCTGTACCATAAGCGGTAACCCCCACTCGGGCCACACTCGGGAATACACAGCGCGTCCCTTACCTTGTCCCTTGTGCCGCGCTGTGTCCTCCGGCCGATGCCGGCATCCGTCTTCCGGGTTCCGTCCCTTGCGAGCATCCGCGTCGCAGGGGGGCGGAACCGGTGGGAGATTCAAAAGAAAAAAAAACCTGAAAATCAATAGAAAGGAAAAAATAAAAAATCATACCGCCAGGGAAGTTAAAAACCGGCTTTTGTTTTTGTTCAAATAAAGGAGTTTTTCAAGCTGTGTTTATTTGCTATTTTGTGTACTAATTGGTGAATGAGTGGGGGTAACAAGGGGTGGGGCGGCATCTGGGTGCCCCTTTATGAAAGGGGGCACGCAGATGGAGATGAGCCCCTCTGTCCACAGACGCCAACAAACACCAGACCAAGGTTGTGGGTAGAGGACTTTGTCCTCCCAATGTCAAAGTCATGTGGCCTGGCATGGTGCAGGGAGGGGGGCGGACACTCGCTTCTCCCCCTTCTTTCCTGGACAGGCCACTGCTCGGATTAAGGGTCTAGTATGATATTTTTGGCGTTTGGGTCCCCCTTAAAATCTCTACCAGACCTAAAGAGTCTAAAAGAGTTAGGTTTATAAACAGTTTACAGTTAGATCTCTGCTGCCTGGATTGATTGGTGGGTATTTTTGTACTATTCATTTAGCCTGTATTCACAGACTTGTGAATAGCGGAAATGTTTGTGTGCAACACATGACAATGCACCAGCACTATGTGCTGTACATTGAGGTGACATTCATTGTGAATGACACTCATAGGCACTGTACAGATCAGGCAACTGCATAATGCACATAAATGCGTTGTGGCATACTGTGTTGCTTAAAAGGGCCATTTGCCTTTCTTGATACATTGTGGTGCTTTGGCAACCCATTGCTAATGAGTGGGCTGCCTTAACGCAACGTACTGTATGTTAACATGTGACATAATGCACCTGCATTACTGTCCCACAACAGGTTGCTTAAGTGTACTGAATTTTTCTACTAGTTCTAAATTGATTTGAGCAGCTGCCACGTTTTGTTTCCTAGCTGTATGTGTCTTAATCTTACAAACCTGATTTTGTTTTTATTGCAGGTCCTGCAATGAAATTTCTAGAGATCTTCTGTAAAACGCCATTGGGAAAATATGTCTCATCTAAGGAAGAGAACACGCAACACAACCTTTTCCTGATTTACAAGAGAGACTTTATCCTCATGAACATGAGCATATCATCTGCTGAAGAGTTAAAGGTAGAACTAGTAGTGTTCCAAAAATATGCAATCGAGGCTGGGGTCTATGCATGCAAAAAGCCTAGCAAAAAGAAAAAGCCAAAATATTCTCAAATTTGTATAAAAACGCTTAACTAATATTAATTAGGTATGGTCCAGAAAATGACTAAATATATATATATATAT